GGTGCATTTCCCCACTGGGTCCCTCTCTCTGGGGAGGATGTGACAGGTAGTGACTGTGCATCCTCGCTCTGCAGGCACGCAATCTGCATCCTCGGGCAGGTTGCTTCACCTCTCTGAGCCTCCTGTCCTGGCGCCCGTGACTACGACGGCTGCTTCCCCTGCCTCTGCTCTGACTCCTACTTTTAGCTCCATGCTCATTATGAGTGGGAGGGGATTGGGTGTGGATGCACCTGGGGTCCATTTAGGGCATTTTGAGTCAGAGAAAGGAGGACCCCCCCACTGCCTCCTCTAGCGCCACCTTCTGCCATGGCTTCCCCAACCTTTCAAACTATCCTCCCTCTTGGGACCCAAGAGAGGATCAGTGGGTTTAGTGATGCTGCCACCTGGTGGCCACAGGCCATCGGGACTCAGCGGGCAGCCACGTTAGCTTGCTAGGGCTGGAATCAAGCACTCTCCGCTGAGTGTCACTGGTGGCCAGCGGGCTGGAGCACACATTTTGAGAAGGCCAGGCAGCTGGACTCCAGAGACCCCCTACATTTGAGGCCTGAAAGCTTCATGGTTAAGCCCAAGAGTCTCAGAGACTGTGTTCAAATCCTGGCTCTGAAACTTCCCAGAAGGATGACCTTGAGCAAGTCAACTACCTGCTCTGAGCCCCAGCTTCCTCATTTGTGAGATGGAGAGCCTTCCTGGACGTCAAGGACACAGGTCCCAGCAATTACTTGGAGAATTCCTTTTACTTTATTATAATCTAAAATGGAATTTATAGGAAACTCAGGCACATTAGGAATTCAACTCTAAAGCCATGCTTATTTTAAGCAAAAACAGGAGCTGTCCGAAAACTTAGGTTTTGTGTGTGAGTTGTTAAGTCTCCTCTGACAGCCCCTGTCCCCAGGGCGCATTTTTACTCCACCGCCAAGGGTTCTACTAAGAGCAGTTCTCACTTATCAATTCTCACCGCATGCTTGGCACTTTCCACGTATCTCGAGTCCTCACAGCAATAGCAATTTGTCCCCATTTTACAGAGCAGAAAACTGAGGTGCAGAAAGGCTGCGTAACTTGCTTGAGTTGTTACATGTAGGAGCAAAGCCTCAGTCAGACCTGAATCCGTCTGGCAGCAGAAACCTCACTGGTCTAATGTTGGAGAAAGCCCTGGTGGTGGGAGTTTCAGGGGTTGCCTGGGGAGGCAATTGTTCTGTCCTTGAGCCCTCCCTGAGCACATGATGGGGGACATTTGCTGACTGATGTAATATGCCCCAGGATCCCAACACCAGATGCCCAACACACAACCAGAGACTGTCCTAGCCAAGGGGGCCAGGCTGAGTGAAACCGGCACTTCCCCAGCTCTCGCCCTTTTGGGCTCTCACTCTCCCTTCGTGAGACTTCCAGCTCCTATCCGCCTCCGGTAAGCCAACAACCAGCACTGTGTATGCATACTCCTTCCCACAAACCTGGGGCATTTCTCCTGGCTTCTAAAAGATGCAGCCTGGGCAGGACTTCTCCTTGCCAGGGAATTCCCTGGTTGTTTCAGTTCTCTTTCTGGTTGGAAACTGCTGTGACCCAAGTTATTAAAGACACAGGCACTGTGAACACATGACCTCTGCCCAGTCACCCTCCCACACCAGGGCTGTGAGCATGGACGTAGCCCTCCCCTCATGACTCACAATTGCAACAGAAGGCAATGGGAGGAAAACAGGCCCAGGGAGGAGATAGGACTTGCCTGAGGTCATATATCTAGGGATGACAAAGCTCCCTACCAAGCTTCTGCCCACTACCTTACTCTGCTGGTGGGCAGAAATATCCAGGGATCACTGAGGTCTTGCCCAGACTGGAGCCCCAAAGATGAGGTCCTTTCCCAGGGTCTAGGGACACTCAGCAGGCCAGGTGATCTTTGGAACAGGGAGACTGATAAGAGGAAAGGCTCTGGAGCATGGCCAGCCACCTTCACACAGTAGGCTCAGCCCCATCCATGTGCCTTTGCAGTCCTTGAAGTGCCTTGGAGTAGCCATTCACGTTTTCAGTCATTCATTGTCTATCACTGCACTGAGTAGGATTGTGGTGCCGGCAAGAGGCTCAGGATCAAGTCTAGCTGCCTAGGCTGCACATGGTTTCTTTCTTGCCTTGGAGTGGCCATATGGGGTTTTGGTCATTCTAGCTGCCTCACCTGTACTTGGCTTCTCTCCTGCACAGAGCAAATAGCGGGTCTGGCATGCTCTTAGAACCACTCCTTTAGGTTACTACTGCCTTCCATAGGTTCCTAGAGAAGGAGTCACAGCAAGTCCCCAAGAATTGTCAGAAGAGGATTTTCTCAGTGATCTGAGCTTTGCTCCCCACCCTTCCCCAGTACCAGGAAGAGCCAGGGTACAGGGGATGGGGGAAGGATACAAGAAAAGGCAATTGGAGAGATGCAAAGACCATGATGGGGACTTCACTGAGCTTCAGTCACCTGTCTTGCTTGGTTTGCTACCAAACATCTTGTGGCTGTGGGGGCTAGCCCTGCCCCTCACTGCCCTCCCCCAGACCCCCCACCTCTCTGCTTAACTTGCTATTGAGGAACCAGGAGCCACACTTGTTTCCAGACCTATAAGACTGGCCCCAAGTATGACCCAGAGGGAGTATGTGGCACAGCTATCAAGCTATCTGGACTGTGGAGGTGTATTGTGGCTAGGCCTGAGGACTGGGAGTCAGCTCACCTAAGTCCTCACCCAGCTGTGCTACAGATTTACTGTGTAACCTTGGCTGGTCACTTCCCTTTGCTGAGCTTCCAGGTCAGTTATTTGAGCATCTGGCCCTAAGGATCACAGGGTGGTCAGAAAAGGCCCAGGTGTAACCAGCGAGGCCTCCAGAGTAGCAGCCTACCCCCAGGAGAAGAGCAGAGTCAGAAACCCTTAGAGGAAACAGCCTCCAAGGCCACCATGCTGAAGGGTCTCAAGTGCCTCGGCCTAGAGGAAGGCAGGAGGTGAGCTACTGGAATGCGTCAGTGTCTGTCCAGGAAGAGTCAGTGCCAGAGCCCTTCTTCTCCCCTTCAATTTTACCTAACCCAGCTGCAGACCTGGTCTGGGGCTGTCCTCACCCTCCCTACCTGGATGTCCTCCCTATTCCACTGTGCCTTTCCAAGCCTTCTCAGTCTTCATTGTCATTGATAATGTATCACTCCACTTCCCATCTATTAGCTTGTCACTAAGACATTATTGTTCTTTTATTGATTATCCTAGAGATTATATCATGCATCTTTGACTTCTTAGTGTCTACCTTAAATTGTAGTTTTATTGCATCCTGGACAATGCAAGGACCTTGGGACACTATAATTACATTTTTACCCCTCCCACTTTTGATGTTATTGTTGTCATGTAATTATACATATATTCTAAACACGTTTTAAAATGCCATCGTCCTATTAGCAAACTAACACAGGAACAGAAAACCAAATACTACATGTTCTCACTTGTAAGTGGGAGCTAAATGATGAGAACTCATGAACACAAAGAAAGAAACGACAGACGCTGGGATCTTCTTGAGGGTAGAGAGTGGGAGGAGGGAGAGGAGCAGAACAGATAACTATTGGGTACTGGGCTTAATACCTGGGTGATGAAATAATCTGTGCAACAAACCCCCATGACACAAGTTTACCTATGTAACAAACCTTCACATATACCCCTGAAACTAAAACAAAAGTTTCAAAAATAAAATGTCATTATTATTATTTTTCATATGGTTAATATTACTTTGATTTGTATGAATATATCCATTTTCATTGCTCTTTATTTTCTTCTGCATTTCTATGCTTTCATTTGGGACTACTTTTCTTCTGTCTGAAGAACACTAGAATTTAGAGTATGTGTACTGTTGACAAATTCTTCAGTTTTTGGGTGAAAATGACTTCATGTCATCTTTATTTCTGAAGTATTCTTTATCTGGGTATGGAATTCTAGGTTGTCAGTTACTTTAGAGCAAAATATCTTCAACAAGCTAGGAATAAATGAAAACATTCTCAATTTGAAAAAGAACATTTGCAAAAATCCTACAGTTAACCTCATACTCTTACTGATAAGAAACCAGAAATTTTCCCACTAAGATCAGGAACAAGACAAGGATGTCCCCTCTCACTATTCTTTTTCAACATCATTTAACCAACAAGTTTTAACCAATGAAGTAAGATTAAAAGGGAAAAAAAGGTATACATATTGGGAAGGAAGAAAAAAAACTGTCTTTATTTGCAGATGACATAATTGTCCATGTAGAAAATCCGAAGGAATTGACAAAAAAGCTCCTGGAACTAGTAAGTGATTAAAGGATGACTGCAGGATACAAGATTAATACATAAAATCAATTACTTTCCTATGTGCCAGCAATGAACAAGTGGAATTTGGAATAAAAAACACAATGCCATTTCCATTAATATTCAAAAAGAAATATTTCTGTATAAACCTAACAAAACATGTACAAGATCTATATGAGGAAACCCATGAAACTATGATGAAGGAAATCAAAGAACTGAATAAATAGAGAGATATCCCATGTTCATGAATAGAAAGAGTCAATACTGTCAGGATGTCAGTTCTTCCCTCCTTTATTGATAGATTTGATGCAGTCTCATCAAAATCCCAGCAAGTTATTTTGTGGCTATTAACAAACTGATTCTAACGTTTATATGGAGAGACAACTCAAAAGAGCCAAGACAAAATTGAAAGAGAAGAACAGAATTGAAGGACTGGCAGTACCAACTTCAAGACTTACTACAAAGCTGCAGCAATCAAGACAGTAAGATATTGGTGAAAAAACAGACAAATAGATCAATGATACAAAGTAGATAGCCCAGAAATAAACTCACATGAATACAGTCAACTAATCTTTTACAAAGGAGTAAAGAGAAAACACTGAAAAAAAACAAAAACAAAAACAGTCTTTTCAGAAAATGGTGCTGAGACAACTGAACATCTATAAGCAAAAAAAAAAAAAAAAATCTAGACACAAACCGTGTCATAAAAATTAAAATGTATGTATAGAACTATAAAACTCCTAGGAGATAATGCAGGTGACTTGAACACACTGGTGAACTAAGGATTTCTGGGCCATGTGAAGGGTTAGCACCTTCACATTTAGCCACTTCCAGGACAGCCAGAGCCCTCAGTGCTGGACATGCAACCATTTTCACCCCTTCCAAACTGCATGCAAACAAGCATAGCTCGGGCAATGGGGAGTGGGCACGAGAGACCGCCTTCTCACTGTTCTGCAGGAGAGACCATCTTCTACGAGTGGCCATTTACTGCCCTCTCCATCCTCCCCGTCCCCAGGCCCTGCCCTCTCCTGAGACCCTCAGGGAAGTGCCATGTTGCCTACAGTTTCCTTGGCCAACTTCTATCCAGTCAGAATGCTCCCCTCATTCTCCCACACTCAGGGGGGCTTTCCCGTCCAGTAGCCCTCTGTCCCAAAAGGCTCTTTTTTTTTAACATGCCTGGACTGCTTTGACCCCATCCTACTGGCAGGTGGAGAGGAACTTTGCAGATACCCTGGGTGCAAGTCCTAAGGTCCCTGGGGGTGGGGTAGGAGAGGCTGGCAGAACTGAAACCCAGGAAGGCACGCCATCTATCTCAGAAGGGGCCCCACGCTGGGGTTTCTCAAACTCTCAGCAGTGGAATAGCACTTCTGCAATGAAAAATTACACTTCTATTTTCTTTCCTAAAGGGAAAAAGGAAGAATGCAACAAAACTGAAGTGTGTTCTGTCATGTTCCTGAACCATAGCCGTAAGAGCCCTCCCCAGCCCTACCCAAACCAGCCTACTCCCTCCCAAGAGCTCACAGCTGCAGGACTAGAGTCAGATGTGCCCTGGCAATAAGGTAAGTGGAAGCCAGAGGGACTTGAACCCATGGGGAGAAGGGAAGGCCTGGTGGGGCTGGGAGGAGGGCTCCCCCGAGACACACACTCTGGAGTGTCTTCCTCCTGCCTCATCCCAAAGGCTGGATTTGTAGGGCTGGGTTTCTGTTTCCCCAGAATACCTGGGATCCAAAAGACACGGACAGCCTGTCATGGATGGGCTCCTCTTTGGTGGGAGATTTCTGTTAGCTCTGGGTGGTTCAGTGGAGCAGAGAGTGAGGCCACACAGCAACAGTGAATCTTTCTTCCTAAGGAATTCTTTCAGGGTCTCTGGGCCATGAGATTAGTTTCTGGGAGTGAACTCTTGAGTTTCCAGCCAGGCCTGACAGCATGGTTGCCCAGCCCAACTGTCCTGGGCTCAGCCTGTATCTCACACCTCAAGAAAAGGCTTTCTGGCCAGGCGTGGTGGCTCACGCCTGTAATCCCAGCACTTTGGAAGGCTGAGGCGGGCAGATCACCTGAGGGCAGGAGTTTGAGACCAGCCTGACCAACATGGCGAAACCCCGTCTCTACTGAAAATAAAAAATTAGTTGGGCATGGTGGCGGGCACCTGTAATCCCACCTACTCGGGAGGCTGAGGCAGGAGAATCCCTTGAACCTGGAGGACGGAGGCTACCATGAGCTGAGATCATGCCACTTACACTCTAGCCTGGGTGACAGGGCGAGACTCCATCTCAAAAAAAAAAGAAAGAAAAAAAGAAAAGAAAAAAGAGAGGCTTTCTTCAGACTATGGCCAGATGCGGTGTGGACAGAAACATACATGTGTCTGTGCCTTAGGGGAAAGAGGGTGCCCCGAGGCCTCTGATAGTGAAAGGGTGCCCTCACTATCAGACTAAAAGGTCCCAGCCATTAACTTACTGCATCTAAAAGGTTCAAGACCTGGAGGGACATTGGGTTCAAGCCACCTGCAACAGGCTCGCTGTCCCACACAGCCTTTGAGATCTGATCCTATTTGTGGTCTCTCTGGGTGATTTCACCGTGTGTGTGTGTGTGTGTGTGTGGGCTTCTCATTCAGCCACTTGGCAAATGTGTCCCTGGACATTTATGGTGGCGAAACCCTATTTGTACGGGGCAGTGGGACATGGGACAGCAAGAATCACAGCCCAGACCATACCCAGTCCTCGGGAGGCCTCAGGGACAGGAAGAGAGGAGCTCAGGGAAGACAGGACAAGGGCCCACAGAACTTGGGCATGAAATGCAAAGATGGAATGAATGGGGAATAAGGCTGGCCAGGTGTCCTGGGGGATTCTCCCTGTTGTGGGAGTCAGAGGCAGTGAAAGGTCACCTTCCCCAGGCAAGGGAGCTTCACAGGAGAGGTAACATTTGAGCAGGGCCTTGAACCATGGGCAGTGCTTGGACACAGAGTTTGGAATAGAAGCTACCTTCTTAGGAGAGAAATAATGTGAGCAAAAGCCTGGTACCCAGAGAATGTATAATTAGTTATTCAAATCTGCTCAACCCTTGGTTCCTGTTGAAGGTGATGGCAGGTCCTGGGCCACATGACGTTGGTGGACATAGCAGAGTTTGTGTTCCTCAAACCCATGCAGGAACAAAGCTGGCCATTGTAAGTGGCCTTCCACCAAGTACCCATAGTAACCACTTGGAATGTGCTAGCTGTGTTTATTCTTCACTAGGGTTTCTAGGCAGCCTTTCTGGTGGCCAGGACTATGGCTAAGCCTCCCCCTTCTGTGTCCCTCCATACATCCTGGTGCTACAGACACCTCTCTCCTCCACCAGTGGGTGCTCCCAAGAGTCAGGGCTCAGTTTGTTGTTGAATCCGCTTCTCCCCAGCAGCTGGTTCTCTGCTCGGCTCAAAGGAGGACTCAGCAAGGGTTTGTTGTGTAACTGTCAGATACAAGGAAGATGTAGCTGGTCTGTCTACCTTTTCTTTTCCAAGAAGCAGAGCCAAACTGTCTCCAAATAACCAAAAAATTACCAAAGCTCCACCCTGCAAGCCAGCATGCCTGATCCCTTGCATAGACAAGGACAGACATACCTATATTACAGAAATCCAGAAGTCAGAGAGAGTGGGTGGTGTGTTCTATTCAGAGTATGGGACAGACTAAGCTCATGACCTTCCACACCACTTCCAGCCTTGGCTCCATCCTGGCTTGGGCAGAGTGATTGTACGAACAGGCACAGGGCCCCTGAGGTGGGCAACTGTGTCTGGGCTCAGGGAGCCACAGAGGTCTCTGACTCAAGCTGAGCCTGTGTGTCCATGTTCCATCTTCCCAGGCCTTCATCCATGGAGAAGCCCCTCACCATCCTGCGAGTGAGCCTGTACCACCCCATGCTGGGCCCATCTGCCTTTGCCAATGTGCCACCACGGCTGCAGCATGACACCAGCCCTCTGTTGCTCGGACGGGGGCAGGACGCCCACCTCCAGCTACAGCTCCCCCACCTCTCCCGTCGTCACCTGTCCCTGGAGCCCTACCTGGAGAAAGGCAGTGCCATGCTGGCCTTCTGCCTCAAGGTCCTGAGCCGCAAGGGCTGTGTGTGGGTCAATGGGCTGACGCTGAGGTACCTGGAGCAGGTCACCCTGAGTACCGTCAACAGGCTCTCCTTCTCAGGCATCCAGATGCTGGTTCGCGTAGAAGAAGGCACATCCCTGGAGGCCTTTGTCTGCTATTTCCATGTCAGCCCTTCACCCCTGATTTACAGACCTGAGGCTGAGGAAACTGACGAATGGGAAGGCATCTCCCAGGAGCAGCCTCCCCCTGGTTCAGGGCAGCAGACTTCAGGTTGCCTGGGGTTTCTCCACGGCCCTTCCCAGACTTGGGACAGCCCTCCCCAGCCAAGACCTGGAGGAGGAACAGAAATACAGCTCCAGAGGGAACTCCCAGACAGTACACTCTGCTAGCCCTGCCACTAGAGCAAGTCTTTGCTAGATGAAACAGGACTTGAAGTATTTGAACTACTTCATGCAAGCTTGACAAGCAAAACCCGCTGGCTGCCTTGCTCATAATGAACCAATTCTGCAAACACTGAACAAACAGTCCGGGGTGGAGCACCCTCTGTGGCCAGAGTTATGCAAAGTAATGGGAACTTCATATACTTTTAGAGGCCCTGAGGGGTTCTGGGGAGCCTCTCTCAGCATTTCCACACATTTCCCCCTCTTGTCTGACTAGGAGTTACTTTATGTGGTTCATTTTGCGTGCTGCTTAAGAGCGGGAGTTTGAGGTTGCACCAGGAATGCGTGGACACATGTAACAATTACATTTGTGGTAGCTTGGTGTTACCTTCAGCTTTCAAATACCCACAGGCACGCGGGGCTTAGGAAAGCCTGAGTTTAATAAACTGCAAGTATTTCATTAAGCTGGCACACCCAATAGGATTCCCTGATCCCCAGATGGGCCACATGCACGCCACGCTGTCATGCAGAGGTGGGGGTGAGAAATATAGACGAGGTGTAAGAGGAAATTGGAAAGGTGGGACTCACATTTCTGGAAAAGATGCAGGCAGGGCTCAGGGTTTCCTGAGGATGGGAGCTGGGAGCTGGGCCTGCCTGGAAATTCATTGTCCCCATCATCATCCTCATCCTCACACTCCCCATTCTCTGTCACTTCTGGATCAAGACCTTGGCTGACTTGAGGGCAAAGGTCTTCAGGGAATGAGCGGATGGGGTGGGGGATTGTGTAAGAATTCAGCCCAGCAGTTATTTCACTCAGGGTGAGTCACACACCAATGGGGGTGGGGGTGTTCCTTCCAAATAAGGGACTCGTTAGGAGCCAGGCACGCCAAAGGTGGGAGGATTTTCTCAGTGAACAAGGGGAGCAGCCACTTGCCATGCCATGCTGAGAAGGGGAGAGTGTGGTTTAGAAACAGCATTCACTGGTGTGATGCAGGGAGGGATCTACATGGTCACCATGATCCCAGACCCCACTCTCCCAGGAATCTGAGGAGCCGAGGGCACAGCCCTGTTCCCCTGGCTGACTCGAATCCCTGGGTCTGTAGTTGCCAGCAATTTCTGTTTTCTGCCCAAGAGGATGATCATTTTGCACCCAGGGCAAGCTACAAGGAGGTCCAACTTCACTCACAGGCCCTGAACATCTTCTCTATGAGGAAAACAGAGGTGGGCAAGACCCAGGCTTGCCCTGGTTTGGGAAGCTTCCTCTCCAACAGGAATGAAGCAAAAACACTCAGATCACAGCCACAAGGCAGGGAGAGCAGGGTGGCTAGGAAGGGGCTATCTGATGCTGTGAATGACCCCTTGGACCCCCAAAGCAGTTCCTCATTCATTCAGCAAACCTTCACCAAGCACCCACCTTGTGCCAGATCTGTGCAAAGCCACGGAACTGAACCAGAAGTGAGTAAGGCAAACTCCCTCAGGGAGTTTACGTTGTGCTCAGGAAAGTCAAGCATTCAGGATTGCATTACTTATTTGATCACTACTGTGATTAGTGCTATAGTCATTGTATTTTTCTCTCTCCTCCAGCTGGGCTCACATACTCTTGTTAAGTGGCCTTGCCTGTTGAGTGCCTACCATGTGCTTAGGACTCTGCTAGGTGCTATGTATATTACCCTGTTTAAGGCTCATAACACCCCAGATAGACAATGGTATTAACTGCACTTTACAGATGAGAAAACTGAGACTCGGAAACATTACATATCTTGCCCAACATCACACCATCAGTAGCTATGTGACTTGGGCAAGTGACTTTATCTGCTCTTGCCTCTATTTCTCCCTCTGGAAAATGGGTAAGATAATAGTACTTACTACCTGCTAGAGTTATGAGGGTCTTAGGAGGTGGCACCTGTAAAGCACTCAGTCAGTGCCCGGCACACACTTAATAAGGGTTAGCTGCTATCATGAGACCTGAGAGAGGAGGGCTCACCATCCATACGGAAGTAAGGAAGACTCATGCCCCAGTAAGCTGGCTCCAGAACTCAAGGGCTTACCTGTGTTCCGTGATGCCCCAACTAGGGATTTAGTTGTAGCCATGGACCTGGTGGGCAACCAGGAGGGGATTTTAATCTGTTCCTTGCATCAGAAGGTCCAATAGGCAGGGTTAGTGTAATGGGAGATGCCATGGTAGGGCTGGCAAGGAGAAGAAGCCTCGTGTACTTTGGTCTGATGAAAGGCAGCAGTGATCTGTCACCGACCAAAATGATCCCCCAACTATGCATGTTGTGGGAGCAGCAACCCACATACAGAACTCAAGAAGCCATGGCCTGGAGGCTGCACCCGGACACGAAAGACTGGAGAGAGGAGCTGGTGGGGAAACCCCAGAGTCCCCAGGGTGCCACTCCCCAGCTCCACCAGACACTTTGGGAATGAGCTGCTGCCCCGAGTGGCCCTCTCCAGGGTTTCAGTGAGGGTCTCTCCCCTCCAGGGAGGAGCAGACCCTTGCCAACTGGAGTCCTGAGAGAGGAGAGAGTTCAATTCCTCCACAGGGGACTCTGCAACTGAGATCTTTGGAGTGAAGCATCTGCGAGCCCCTCAGGGACCCAGGATGAACTGCACAGCAGCTGAAGGAAGACAGGTCAGACCAGGCGGGAGGGAGCCAGGAAACATCTGGCCTGTAGTTTCAGATTCTACCTCTTCACAGTTCACACAGTCTCCCCGGGAAACTCTCACCTTGCCCTATGCCAAGTTTTTAAGACAGTTAAGCTCTGCCCATCCAAGACTTCATTTTTCTTGAGTAGAAAATCACTGAAATCATCAGATCCATGGCACCCACCCTCACTTTCTCCTAACAGTTGAAACCGTCAGGCTGGCTTCAGGGCCTGGTCTTCGCACTTGATATCACTATCCTTCACCTGCTCAGACAACCGGAGCAGGCGGGTGAGTTCCTCCCAGCAACCTCCACTGCATTCTCTCAGCTCCCACCGCAGGGCAGCCCATGTGTCTGAGTGAACATGTGTGCATGTGCACACACACAGGTATGCACAGACATACACTAAACATGAACACACAGTGCACATGAACGCTGCTCCAAGCTAGGGCCCTCTGGTCAGACTGCTGCCTGGGTTAGAATTCTTATCTCCCTCCCTGACCACTTACTATAGTTCTGTGATCCTGCACAAGTGACTGAATCTCCCTGTGCCACAGTTTCTTCTTGTAGAAACTGGGAAAGATCACAGCACCTACCTCCTTAGAGTCATTGTGAAGGTCAATTTGAGGCATCACACATTTAAGGCACCCAGACATAAGGGTCAACAGGGTTAGCTATCACTGTCCAGTTTGGTGGGAGGAACTGAATGCATGTGGACACATGGACTCAGTCTACACGCAGGCACAAAAGGAGCTACATTGGTTACATTCAGGTATACCCCAGAGCACTACAATTCTCTGAGACATTGTCTGGAAATCTAGAAATCACCTCCTTGCCCTTTAAGGTATTTTAACACTCACATTCCTCTGCTTTTCTAAGAATGTGAATCTTCCCAAGCTGTCCTTGAGAGACACAGCCTCCCCTCGAGGGAAACATGCAAATGCTCCATAAGCAGCCACAGTGTGGGGCTCTGCCGTGAGGAAGTCACAGCAGACACGCTAGACAGCATAGTCCTGGCTACAGCCTGGAGGAAGGGAGGCCCGTGGTGGAGCACTCACTCCGTGCTTGTCTGCCCAGTGAGACCTCAAGTTCCTTGAAGACAAAGGCCATGGGTTGTTGACTCTTGTGTTCCTGGTGGCCTTCACAGAGCTGAACAGAGGACAGACGCACAGACAGGTGGGGCTCTGGTGGTCAAGGCAGCAGTATCCTTAGATGCTAAAGTCTGAGCCAGGCCATCAGGCCCGGCATGGACAGGGCAAGGCCCATAGTGATGGGAAGCCAGTTGGCCAGCTGGGGTGAGAAGACCACAAAGCCATGGGCAGACAGGAAGTAGAGGTGAATGTGTCTGCCTCCTATAGGCCTTTGCCGGGACAGCACAGACCCTCTAGCTGGGGCAGAACAAGGCTGGTGCTTCCTTCTAGTCCTTGAGCCTGTATAGCTCAAACTCAAGCAGAACCCTGGGGTTTTGGGATTCTGTGTGGTGACTGCTGAGGAAGGTTTATGGATTTGACAGGGTGCATGTGAGAGAGACAATTCTCAGTCAGCACTTCCTGTCCCCTGCAGAGGCTCATAGGGGACAGCCCCTGCCAAGGAGACCCTGGAGGGACTCTGAGGATAACAATCAGAGGTTGGGCTGGCTGGACTGAGCCTGGGCCTGTTGTCCACCAAATCTCCATAGGCTCTAGCCTGACCCCTCCCTCCACCCCTGGGCTATGCAGGCCAGCCTGTGCAGAACACCCCGATGCGTCCATTAGCAACATCCGCCTCACTGTGCCAACACTCCATCCACACAGGAAAGGGCCGAGAAGGCAATGCTTAACCCAAAGGAGTGAGTTTCATAGGAGGAGTGGTTTCAACAATTTCACTGCAGGACACTGAGGGAATATTTCCCTATCCCTTCAAATGGACGGTCACTGCAGAAACGTGTAGAGCAAGACTTTGTCAACGGGTTGTTTCCAGGTCTCCCGGTGTCTAAATAGCAGAGTTGGGATGGGAACCGAGAACCGATTCTTTCCACAACCGCCCACTGAGTAGCAAGGCTGCAGCCAGCAAAGAGGTGTGCAGAAGCAAGCAAGCTCCATGTGGTGGGGACAGCACATCGCCACCTCCACCGCCCCCTGCAATGGGCTGCCAGCAAGGTCACCTGCCTTCCAGTGTATCTACTGTGTGAGCTTCTCCAGCTCTTCTCTGTTTTCTCTTCCTCAGCATCCACCCCGTGACACGTAGTGGTGGCTGATGTCGCCACAGTACCATGAGGTTAACAGCTCCTCCCTCCAGCTTCCTTCATAGTGGCAGCCTCACCTGCATTCCAGCCATTTGCCGGACACCGCACCAGACCCTCAAAGCCCATCCAAGACTGTGGGGAGTAGTAAACAACCCAGCCCAGTTAAGAGGAGATGCTGAATTTAATGAACTCTATTTGAATTGCAGGGCTGTGATTCCTCTTACCTTTAACGTGAACTCACAGGCGGATTAAAGTGAAATAAAACCTACCATTTGAGTTACATTCTCAGCTGATTGGAAACATGCATTGCCTCCCCATGACCGGGCCGTGAGAAGGGAAGTTATTATCTTTCTTTAGAGTTTGTAAACTCTTTATGGCTGAGGCAGCTTTAATCCTGCTGGGGGAAAAAAAAAGGATCCGGGAATCAATTGCTCCCATTTACCTTTGTTTTCCAATCACATGCTCCAGTGGGAATAAAACATCCTAAGTGAGGGGATGTGGGGAGCCAGGTGATCCCTGACAGAAGAGTTTGATTATTTTCTTCTCTAGGCATGTGAATTGAAGGAGCTTTAGAGTTCCATTTGGCAAGGGGGCTCGTTTCACAAAAATGTGCACCCCAGCAAGGATGTCAGCACTCCTGGGCCATTACTGGTTCCTCTGCCTTTTCCTTCCAGAGGAAATGCCCTCCATTCCCCAACTGTGCCCGCTTCTTTAAGGGGTGCTTGCAGCAAAGGGCCCAGCTAGCTCCAGGTATTTGGCCAGGAAGGAGTCCAAGTACAGGCAGATTTGAATCCAAATCAAATCAGTCCAGGAACGAGGAGAAAACCTGTGAAGACTGGGGCTGTGGAGGAGGCTCTAGACTCCCTTTCGGCCTCTCCCATTTCTCTGACCCTCCCTGTGTGTGACCTGACAACACAGTTCACATGCAGTAGGTCCCAAGCAAGGCCGGCAGGAGGGCCCGGGCTCCGAGCCAAGCACTCTAACTGCTGGAAGGGGGCCTGGCTGTGATGTCTGCCTCGCTTTCCTTTAAAGATGTGGAGGCAGGGGGTAGAGGTGGGAGTCTTCGGAATAAGGCAGAGGCAGGGGTCTTCGGAGCGAGACCTCAGTCAGGCAGCCAGACACGAGGCTTCCATAATTGCTTCTCTGAGGGATCAGGGGCTGTCATGACATCATTCGCTCAGAGGGCTTGCTACAGATGGGTTGGGAACATGGACCCTATTAAGTCACCTTGTTTAAGGGGAGGCCTATCATTCAGGATCCAGTCAGAAATACAAAAACCAGTCTAAGTATGCAAAAAATGTAATTCAGGGAATTGGATATGGAATCACCGAGAAGCCAAATAAGGGATGCAATTCAGAGATTAACAGAGATTGCTCCCACTGCTGGCTCCAGGCTGGAGGGCAACTGAAAGGGAGTGTTTCTGGAGTCACAGTGGGGAATGTCCAGCCCAGGGCTAGAATACCATGGAGGTCCCTAAGGAAGCTGGGACCTAGAAGGATAGGAGCCACAGAGGAGAGGCAGCTGCCGCCAGCAGCTGATGAGGTGACTCTACTTGACAGGCTGACAGAGGAAGGAATACCTTGGCTTCTCTTCTTCTTCGCCCCCCCAACCCCAACCCCATTGGCTGAAGCCAGCCAGAGGCAAGCTGACCAGCAAGCCTGAGAAATGCAGCCTGTGGGGGTCGACTTTCCCGCAGTACAGAGCAGGGGATGAACGAGAGAGCCATGGACCTGAGGACAAACAGCCAAATGACCAGCACAGAGACCGTGGCCATGTCAATGCCCCTCAGCCTCGCCTGGGGCCCTGGGGTGGCCAAGTAGGGAGAGAAGGATGGGGAGGCCACACTGCAGAGGACTCCACCATGCAGGGACCCCTGAGGGGCAAAACATAGATCCCCACCATCACTGTCACCCCAACCTATGTGACCTTCAATATCTGTAAGGAGGGAGGGAGGAGGGCAAATACCACAGAGTGAAGCACAGAGAAGACCCAGGCACAGCCTGGCTGGGCCCACACACAACTCACCCAGACACCCTGCTTTGAACACCAGCCCCTGAGATAGGCAGGGGGCAGGGCAGAGACATCTGTCCTCAGGAAGCCAACAGGCCCAAATCCCACTGCCTTCCACTTACAGAATCCAGAAACTTCCTTCCTCCCCCAAGCCACTTTTTCCTCACCTATACAATGGGGATACTGTGAGTACTCACCTCACCTCTGTGAAGATGAAAAACACAACATGAGTGTGCCAGGTGCAGGGCTGGGCCCATTTCACATGCCAGTTGGCTGGACTCTCCCACCGGCAGGCAGAGCCCTGCGTGTGGCAGACGCCATCTTGGACATGTCTGTAGATGAGCAGCCACCTACACACAGTAGGTCCTCAGTCCTCTCTCTTGACAGGAGAGAGAGTTGAGAGGAAGAATTTGGGTGGGTTGAAAGAAGACCACTAGGGCCAAAGCTCTGAGAAGAACCTCAGTCAAACCACAATACGGTTCCTGACAAAAAGGGGAAAATACACGTTAAATAAGTAAGTGCTCTGAGTGAGAAGAGGAAGGGTCAGTGGTCTTGCTCAGTGAATGGAACCACAGTATCCAGGGGACCCTGAGCCCGGAAGCCCATGGCAAATTCCAGCAGGGCCATGCAGGGCCCCACACCCCATCCCTCTGCTACCTGCCAACAGGGTTTCCTGTTTCCAGATGGGCCTCGTCTCCTTGGTGCGACACGACCACCCAGCCCTTCACCACTCAGAAACACACGCACGAGGTCCAGAGCTCCCAAACTTGGAGAGCTGCCCCGGGAGTATTAGAAGCAGGCAGGCTGGAAGCCTGATGTTAGAGGCTTCCAGATCCAGTGCTGGGCCTCATTACTGGGAAACACATGGTCGTCCCCTGTGGACACTCTTGGAGGCCAAGGCGGGAAGCTAATCTTCGGGGGTCTCTGTCTTTCAGTTTTACGTTCCTCTTCCCCTGGGCCTCCAGGGTCTGTGGTTGCAGTGCAGAATTCAAGTCAAAACATCAGAAAGCCTCATGTGGTCTGACTTCTCCTTCCCCTCTCCATTCCCCAACACACACACACACATGCACACATACACACACATGAATACACACACACACCTGCATACACATATCCATACATACACACACACACATGCATACACACACACCTGCATGCACACACACACACCTGCATATACACATCCATCCATACACACACACACACACATACACATGCATACACACACACCTGCATGCACACACACACACCTGCATATACACATCCATCCATACACACACACACACACACATACGCCTGCCTCTGGGCTCTGTCAAGCATCCCAGGTAAAGTGTTGGTTAGAAAACCACATGATAATTATGAGCTGTGAGTTTTGCTCCACAGTTAAAGAAAGGGAAAATACTTCCACTTGAGATTCTCAGCCTGCTTTACACACCAGCGTGAATGTTTTGGCTCAGCTCAGGGGAAAACAGAAGCAGAGAAGTGACCCCACTAGAGGAATGGTAGGGGAGCATGCTGGGAAAGTCAGAGTGCTCTGGTAAAGGGATGCATGCCGTAAGAGATGGCCACAAGTTCCCGGGAAGGTTGGAACAGCTAAGTCTGATGAAGAAAGCACTGGATTGAATGGAAGACATTCAGCATGGCCGAGCGATTCTGAGAAAGTCACCAGGAGCTCTGCATACTTTATTTTGCCAGTCTCTATAGTCAGAATTGTGCTGGCAAATGTTTAGCAGCTCTCTGAGTGGTGGGGGAGCTCGGATTATGTGTTTGCTGATGTCCGTGATGTAAATTGTCTTACCACGGTCAATTTCAAGGTATCAAAATGACATCACCGAATGTGGAATTGGAAAGAGACGCACAGTAAGCCTACCATCATGTGGCATTCCCATCACGCAGATACAATCAGTGTAAATAGCCCCAAGGCATAGATATAGTAAGGTATAGTAAAATAACTAGGAAGCAGTGGGTTTTGATTTTTTTATTCACTTTGTATTTAATATCATTTCACCATAAGTTCATATAATTGTTAATAAGTTAGTTACATTAAAAATTTAAGTTTAGTGAGTGATTAAATATAATTTAATGATTTAACAATCAGCTTTTATGAAACAGTGTGAGACAACTCCAGCACACCACTGCATGGAAAAAGTTCCAGAACCTTGTGCTCAAGTGCTGGCTGGAAAAACAAGTTAATGCCTTGGAAATAAACATGGTACCTAAGCAGAAGCCCTGGAAAGGCCGGAGTTACCATTCTAAGAAACACATACAATATTTTGCTATTTAAAAGTGAATTCGTTTATATTTATCACACTAGATATCCCAGCACTTTGGGAGGCCGAGACGGGCAGATCACGAGGTCAGGAGATCAAGACCATCCTGGCGAACACGGTGAAACCCCGTCTCTACTAAAAAAATACAAAAAACTAGCCGGGTGCGGTGGCGGGCGCCTGTAGTCCCAGCTACTCAGGAGGCTGAGGCAGGAGAATGGCGTAAACCCGGGAGGCGGAGCTTGCAGTGAGCTGAGATCCGGCCACTGCACTCCAGCCTGGGCGACAGAGCAAGACTCTGTCTCAAAAAAATAAAAAATAAAAAAAATAAAAAATGACCTTGAGGATGTCAAACCATTCCATGGTATAGATGAGGAAACAGGATCAGAGAGGGAAAGGGAACGCAAGCCCACTCAGCTGGTCAGGGGGGTGCAGCATTTGAATTACTCTAAATCCCTCTCTTGTCTCTACCACTCCCTTCATGGCCTTAGTGAGGGGCAGCCCACACCAGCACACAACCTCTGACTGCACACCACTGTCAAAGCTCACCTAACAAGCGTCACCAGACATGGTTCACAACTGGAGCGCCTGTGCCCGGCCTGGACTCAGCCCTCTGGCTTTAAAGGAATATTAAGTAAGAGGCCACACTCACTTCTTTCCTAGGACGTCTGTCGCAGAGCTCGGGGGCAGTGACATTCAGAGGCTGCCTTTCTTCCAAGATTGGAGGAAAACACAGCTTTCTAAGTCCCACCCCTTCCTCTGCCCTCTGGGATGCAGGATGTTGGTGTCTCTGCTAAACTGATCAGAAGGCAGCAGAGGGCTTTAAACTCAATTCTCTGAGCTGTAGCCAAACCCCAAGGCCTCCTGGACACCGAGAGCTTGACAGTCCTGACTGGCCACCCAGGCTGTGTGCGGTGTTACCCAGCAGCCCCTTGGAAAGCCCCAGACAGGCCACCACCCCATCCCCCAACCTGGAGCAGCCAGCACTGGATT